GTACAAGGTGAAGATCTACTGGGTCCAAAGGTTTTATGCATTAAAAAGCACATAAATGTATAGTCAAAGTAACATGTACAACTTCAGTGGTTTATCAAGTCTTCTGAAGTAATATGATCACTTTGGATTATGAACAGAGTGAAATTCACATTCAAATCAAATCAATGACAATTAAGATTATTCATATATACTGTGATCATCTGCAAAGAGTTGGACTCTCCTGGTGTTTTCCAAATAAATAAATAAATAAATCGGTTCACTCTTTTTATGAAGATCAGCTTTTGATCACCTTTTCCAGCTGATGGCATTGAAGACGGATGTGGAGCTGTTGTAAAGGAAATGAGCCAAGTTGACCTTTGTATTCATGTTGGTTTCATATAAAAAACATCTTGGCATGTGTTCTGACTTTGTGTATAAATTTGAATACAAATTTTAATTTGAGCAGGAGGAGGTTACTAAATGTGCTTCCTCAGGCAGATAGCATTTCATATAGATTCATACAAATGCCATATACATTTCCGAGGCAAACATTTTCATGTAGTCGGGTGAATATCATATCAAGAAAAACTTACACCAGGTAAGATGCTCTTGAAATACTTAAACTATAAAATACTTTTAGTTCTGATCTTTATTAGCTGTTTGTGTGGAAATCCTCAACTACAAATAATCTAATCTCTGGTTTTCATTATGATGATGAACTGTCATCATAATTTTCAAAACAATTATACTGCATCATATGTTTATGTGTTAGGGTTATATTCTTAATATCAGAGGTAATATCAGTGTTCTTAATATCAATGTTGTAAGACTGCAAGGGTTACAGAAGACAGAACAGGAAGGCAAAATCAAATTGATAGGTAGCAGATAAAACAGACAAAAATTACTTTTAGGCCTATAGCAGTTGACACAGTCTGTTGAATATCTCTGGTGGAACTAACAGTAAGATAACAAAGCTACCGTAGGTACATGAACTGCTCCCCACGTTTTTAGTCTCTAAATCCATTTCAGAAAATCAACTCCTTGGCTGATGTACATTTAAAAATGTATAGCCTACAGATCAGACAAATTTGGTAAAACCATATAAATATAAGGAATATGATTTTATAACTTCATATAATGATTTGTTTTAAATACTAAGCTTGATCAATTCCAACAACAGCGTTTCATTCAGCAGTATTTTTTGTTTTGTTTTAAATAGTATCCACTTACGTTATAAGAAACTGCTTCATTGAGAGAGTGTACTGTCCGAATTTATCGCAAACAATTTCAGGCAGGTCTTTACAAACCCATACCATTTAGATCAATAGGCCTAGCTGTTAGTGGCTAGTTTTGTTTATGATTCTAGCACTTGCTTATCATTGCTCTTTTGTTGGTTTTGATTGCTTCCATTGTTCTCATTTGTAAGTCGCTTTGGATAAAAGCGTCTGCTAAATGTCTAAATGTAAATGTAAACCCCCTTCTATTCACCTTATTTTGCAATGCGGAAATACAATATTTTCTGTGAATTTGTGAGGCTTTCGATTTATTAGTCGCTATAGGTAAATAACGAGTAAATTAACAAATTTCAGTAAACGGTAAAACTATTTACGCTACAAACCAGTGTGTTTATAATTAATATACAATACATTAAAACAATATGATAAGAAATACCAGTTTGATATATCAAACAGAAATAACAATAACTTTTTGTGCAGCTAAAATAACTCAAAGTGAATGACACCGGAAGCCACGTACATTCAAGTTAGGCTGGCCCCACACTAGACGATTTTCAAATCTTAACTGATTTTAAAACCATGGGAGACTAGATATTAAAGGTGCACTATGTAAGTTTTTGACTCTTCTTAAGTAAAAAAATAACATAATATGTTTGTAAATATTTAGGAAACATGCTATGTTTACATAGCTGTTTCTCTGAAAAATAATGCTATAGACAATAATTCTACTCTGAAATGTGCGTTTCGGGCAGATTCCGGGTCGGAATTGCAGTACCCATTTCAACCGCTAGCTGGCAATATTACATACTGCACAATGCTCTATGAGCAGAGGAACATTAAAACACGGTAAATCAACTCATCAAATTACAGTGCAAGGTTCTGGCAAACCCGCGTGAGCGTTGAGTCTGAGTAGGAGGAAGCGGGAGAAACGGCTCTCTCCAATATTTTGAATTTAGACTGCAGTACCCATTTCAACCGCTAGCTGTCAATCTTACATAGTGCACCTTTAAGACAGTTTCAACTGATTTTTAGCCTTATAATCCTCTGAACACACACACTAGACGATTTGACCAGATCAAACATGTTTGATATTTACCATTCGAGTTCGGCGACGCTCTGTCTCGATCGGGAGCAGTTGAATAATCGTAATGACACCACACAAAAGAGGATTTTTTGGACAAAAAAATAGTTTGCGAAAAGCCTCGAATCGGCCCCCCCGATTTTTCACAAACAAAAACAAGATAGAGCCTAAGGGCACCACCGTGTGTCTCTAAATTGCTACTGTTTATAACTCTTGTAGCCTAAATACATGAGAAGGGTATAACTGCAGCTTGGAGATATCCAAATGGGGGCGGGAACTCCAAAATAGGGCGTGGCTTCCTCCCATTGACAGACAGGGACATGAAACGCATGCGCAATATTTCTCCCAATCCACTTCAGCGCAAACTCCGCCCCACAGCTGATTGAATTCTAAATATTTTATTAGTTGTGTCAATCACAGTGTTGATTTCCTACACTATGCTACAAAAAATGCTAACCCCCTAAACCTACTCCGCACCTGACCCTAACCTTAACCTGTGAAATTGACTGCATGGCGGGATTGGCGCTGAATAGCGTGGTAAAGAAAGTTGCAGTTCAGGAGATAAACAGTTAATAAGATTATGCGATATGAGATCGTTCCGTAACTCCCCAACCGGACCTCACCGGACAATGGCACATTTTTAGTTACACCCAGCGTCACTACCCCCTCCTACACTGCGAATTTCGTGCCCCGGGACCATGGGCGTCGCTAGGCCATTTTTAGGGCGGCTATAGATAAGTTTTCACTGCGTTCACCGTTCATCACACCACAGCTGTTTCCTCCAGCGAAAATGAAGCACATGTGAACGCATACTTTATAAAACGATCATGTTGCCATTTTCATTTGAAAATTTAACTTTCAGTATAATACATATTCCAGTGCATGTGGCAAAGAGGTTTGCATACTTCAGCTAAGGAAAGAGGGTTGTACTAGAAATGCAAACAGTAAAATTTTGTGTTTGTACAGTAAACATGTTGTGTGTGTGAGATCATGAAGACTTGAATTTGGCTTATTCAGTACTCAAATGTTACACCTATCTATGCAATACAGTGGACTACTGCAATAAGTTTAGTATACGACCCCTATTAATCAAACATTTTTTATTTTATTTATATATATTTTTTTATTATTAGACTATTATTATTACTATACCCTCACTGGGGGCTGAGCCCCCCTAAAATGAAAATCCTAGAATTGCCCCTGCCCGGGATGCACCCGTTGCTTAAAACAACGCGATAGAGTAAAATCTTCCCCCTGTGCTGTGCTGGGACGGCTCGCGGGTGATTCCCGTTTACATCATTAAGCAGAGGTTCAAACTCCGGTCCGAAAACCACTGGCCACAAGCTTTGGGCTCTGATCTCACGGAGAATATTTATTTATATAGCATATTTTATTTTAGATCAACTAGAAACAATGTTTAATTTATAAAGTTTTATTTTGAAATGTAAGTCAATAACAATTGGCTGAAGTCAGAACCAATGGTGAAAGTCTTTGCGCGAGGAAGCAGTTAATAAGATTATGCGATATGAGATCGTTCCGTAACTCCCCAACCGGACCTCACCGGACAATGGCACATTTTTAGTTACACCCAGCGTCAATACCCCCTCCTACACTGCGAATTTCGTGCCCCGGGACCATGGGCGTCGCTAGGCCATTTTTAGGGCGGCTATAGATAAGTTTTCACTGCGTTCACCGTTCATCACACCACAGCTGTTTCCTCCAGCGAAAATGAAGCACATGTGAACGCATACTTTATAAAACGATCATGTTGCCATTTTCATTTGAAAATTTAACTTTCAGTATAATACATATTCCAGTGCATGTGGCAAAGAGGTTTGCATACTTGAGCTAAGGAAAGAGGGTTGTACTAGAAATGCAAACAGTAAAATTGGTTACACTTTATTTTGATAGTCCACTTTAGACATTCTACCATGAAGACTTGAATTTGGCTTATTCAGTACTCAAATGTTACACCTATCTATGCAATACAGTGGACTACTGCAATAAGTTTAGTATACGACCCCTATTAATCAAACATTTTTTATTTTATTTATATATATTTTTTTATTATTAGACTATTATTATTACTATACCCTCACTGGGGGCTGAGCCCCCCTAAAATGAAAATCCTAGAATTGCCCCTGCCCGGGATGCACCCGTTGCTTAAAACAACGCGATAGAGTAAAATCTTCCCCCTGTGCTGTGCTGGGACGGCTCGCGGGTGATTCCCGTTTACATCATTAAGCAGAGGTTCAAACTCCGGTCCGAAAACCACTGGCCACAAGCTTTGGGCTCTGATCTCACGGAGAATATTTATTTATATAGCATATTTTATTTTAGATCAACTAGAAACAATGTTTAATTTATAAAGTTTTATTTTGAAATGTAAGTCAATAACAATTGGCTGAAGTCAGAACCAATGGTGAAAGTCTTTGCGCGAGGAGACCCCGCCCCATTTTGGAGGTTCTGCCCACTTTTGGAGTTCACTTCACGCCCCATTTTCGAGAGCTCCGGTCTGCAGTTATACCTACTTGGGATTTTCCGTGTGCAAAGAGGATAAAATGAAGTCATGTGTCAATGCCAAAGCTAATTAGTTTGTTTGTTTTCCCTCTCTAAACTGTAATGAGGGAATGTCCTCTGAATTTTATTTATTTATTTTTTTTTTAGATAAAGAGATAAAATACACTGGACTGCCAAAATTGACAATGGCGTCCTTTTTTCATAAAGGTGAGTATAATTAAGAAGTGGTTCTCACTGCCCCAAAAACTATTATGACATGAACTGCATTGAGATTATGAATATATCTGTCACAATCTCAACATTGCAATTGAATTAAAAGAAAAAATCATTTGTTTTTATTGATTTTCCCCCCTTCATATTTAACAACAGGTTTTATAAGAGCACCGACTATCTTCTTTGTTATGCTGTGTAAGTCTGATCAATTTTATTGGTTGTGGCTTTTTTTGTGTGTGTGTGTGAATGTAACACATAAGCAGGCCTACAATGTGTTAGTTTAGTAAATATAATGACTAATTTGATAATGTGTTTCTGGTCTGAATATTTTACTGTGTTTAAATTCTCCCCAAAATCAACTCAGAAGATGCTAAATGAGACTTTATTTTTTATTTGGACCTGCACAGATCTAATGATCCTACAATGTAATTGATGATCTTTTTGGGAGCAACAGCTTGAAATGAATCCCTCTTAATGTGTGACACACTTCTTTCATTCAGATGCCTAAGCTGAGGCTTTAATGTGCTTAACAGCAGAGAGTTTCATATTTCCGCCAGAATATTCTGTTTTAAATATTGCACCATTTACAATGTTTTAATTAACCAGTATTCTTTTTTTCCCCTTCTTTTTCTCAGATGTCTTTACCTCTATAAGACAACAAGAGACAACCACAGTTGGTAATGTATTGTGCTGTGGTGTTTTTGATCTTTAGATTGGTGTGTTGAGCTGATGTACAAACAACCAGTTTATTTTTCTGCACAAATGTGCACACAGTAAAGAATTTGACTTTTTCTGTATTAGAATATAACACTTGGAAAATCAGCATGTTACTCGTGATTCTAATAATATTGTCTACATTTCTGAAGGATACTGTATGGCCATGTACACCCTGCAGCTAAGTTCGGTTGTCAGTTCACCTTTTACTCCTTAATTGCGTTCTGTACACACATAATTCACTAAAATACGGGAGTGACAACCACATTCGACAACCGAATTAACTCCCGAACAATGCAGGCAGTGACAACCGCATTTAGGCTACGTACACACTGTAAGTTTCAGGAGTGACATCCGCATTTAACCCTTGTGTGGTGTTCATATTTTTGTTTCTCAGCCAGTGTTTGTGGATCTGGTGGACCCGCTGCATTTTTGGGTTTTTAATTCAACACAATCAAACAATTTTATGTTAAATACTCAACAGATGTTTACTTCCTCCCAATTACAAGCAATATAAACAGCATATATGGTTAATATTTGCCCTTTGTTAGATCACATTTATGAATTAAAGGGCTAACCTTGTGCGGGAACGGCAGGGGCAGAAACACAAAACTCACAACTAGGCCTACACTTTATTTTATTTTATTTTATTTTATATTTTATTTTATTTTATTTTATTATCTGCAGCTGAGGGGCAGCACAAGTGGCTCAGTTGGAAACACTGTTGCCAACTCTCTTAAGATAAATAAGCAACCGCAGCTTCAAAAACAAGCCCAATCTTTTTTTTTATGATTTATTATCATCAATATTATTTATTATCAATTATTTATTACCAATAAATGAGCCTGCAACATATTAAACTGAAACCACTCTTTTATCTGAAAAGCAAAAACAGAAGTTAAATAAAAAAATAAATAAAAATCAGCAAACTGCAACAAAGTGGGAAAAAAACTAATCTCCAATCAGCTGTGAGCAGAATAGGATTGGAGAGATGGAAAAGGAGAAAAACACAAGAGCTTCAAAGGGGAGCTGTAACATAGCCACATATTTATAGCCTACTAAAATATAGGCTATTCGAACCAAATGTATTGACTCTTAGTATTAGTATAGGACTTCTTGTTTTTTATTACAGCCCATGATAATTAATACATTACAAAAACATTGTAAAAATTAAAAATTAGGCTATAAATTCGACAACCGAATTAACTCCCGAACAATGCAGGCAGTGACAACCGCATTTAGGCTACGTACACACTGTAAGTTTCAGGAGTGACATCCGCATTTAACCCTTGTGTGGTGTTCATATTTTTGTTTCTCAGCCAGTGTTTGTGGATCTGGTGGACCCGCTGCATTTTTGGGTTTTTAATTCAACACAATCAAACAATTTTATGTTAAATACTCAACAGATGTTTACTTCCTCCCAATTACAAGCAATATAAACAGCATATATGGTTAATATTTGCCCTTTGTTAGATCACATTTATGAATTAAAGGGCTAACCTTGTGCGGGAACGGCAGGGGCAGAAACACAAAACTCACAACTAGGCCTACACTCACACTTTCACTCTCACTCTCATACACATACACACACTCACATACTACCAGCAGGCCCAGACAATAGGAGAACAAAGTGAAGTGACCTAACCCACTGAGCAAAGTGGTGTCTTTTCAACATCTTTGTCACAAAAGGAGCCAGTATTGGTGCCAGTACTACAGTTCCACAAGGTTGTTGACTATAAATGCCAAACATAAACACAAAATAAAAAATATAATAAAAAAAACATCCAATGCATATTGTAAAATTATCTTATTATCATCAAAAAGCTGATAACACTTTATTTTGGCTTTTTTGCCACAACTATTATAACAGACAGTTATAACAGCCAAATGAAAGCTAGCACTAGAAGTACGAGGACCAAGATCCCGACTAAAGCAAACACTGCCCACCACAATGGTGACTTCAAATGAAACAAATATCAACATCTAAACCTCTATTAATTCTCAATAAGAGCTTCGCTAGATGGGATTACAGCGTCACGCGCCTTCTTTTTGAACTTGATTTTTCTCCAATGAGGGGGTGGAGATTTGGCAAATTACGTTGCAGCACTTATATATTATTACACTGGTTGGCTAAGTGTTCTTTTGTGCTATTTTTTTTTTACAAGATATAAGCATTTCAAAACAAATTTCTTAGTTAAACATTAGAGCATGCTAGTGTGAAAAAACAGTGCAATTTTTAAAATATTTTTTTTAATAGTGACAAAATTATCCACAAATAATGCTTTTTTTCACTCAAAAACTGAGGTACGCAAGCTCAGATTAATGAGGCCTACAAAAAAAATCAGTTCTAAAGATAAACACAAGACCAGTCCTAATTGAAAGAAAACAAGCTGAAAAAAAAAGATTGATAACTATATTTGGTGATAATATAGCATAACAATAGATTTATAAGCTATTTTTTGTGGACCAGTCATTTTTTTTTTTTTTTTTCTACGTACACACTGTAAGTTTCAGGAGTGACATCCGCATTTAACCCTTGTGTGGTGTTCATATTTTTGTTTCTCAGCCAGTGTTTGTGGATCTGGTGGACCCGCTGCATTTTTGGGTTTTTAATTCAACACAATCAAACAATTTTATGTTAAATACTCAACAGATGTTTACTTCCTCCCAATTACAAGCAATATAAACAGCATATATGGTTAATATTTGCCCTTTGTTAGATCACATTTATGAATTAAAGGGCTAACCTTGTGCGGGAACGGCAGGGGCAGAAACACAAAACTCACAACTAGGCCTACACTCACACTTTCACTCTCACTCTCATACACATACACACACTCACATACTACCAGCAGGCCCAGACAATAGGAGAACAAAGTGAAGTGACCTAACCCACTGAGCAAAGTGGTGTCTTTTCAACATCTTTGTCACAAAAGGAGCCAGTATTGGTGCCAGTACTACAGTTCCACAAGGTTGTTGACTATAAATGCCAAACATAAACACAAAATAAAAAATATAATAAAAAAAACATCCAATGCATATTGTAAAATTATCTTATTATCATCAAAAAGCTGATAACACTTTATTTTGGCTTTTTTGCCACGACTATTATAACAGACAGTTATAACAGCCAAATGAAAGCTAGCACTAGAAGTACGAGGACCAAGATCCCGACTAAAGCAAACACTGCCCACCACAATGGTGACTTCAAATGAAACAAATATCAACATCTAAACCTCTATTAATTCTCAATAAGAGCTTCTCTAGATGGCTGACAGAAATAAAGTCAGTCTGGTTAGTAATAAGTGATAATGCTTTTTTTCACTCAAAAACTGAGGTACGCAAGCTCAGATTAATGAGGCCTACAAAAAAAATCAGTTCTAAAGATAAACACAAGACCAGTCCTAATTGAAAGAAAACAAGCTGAAAAAAAAAGATTGATAACTATATTTGGTGATAATATAGCATAACAATAGATTTATAAGCTATTTTTTGTGGACCAGTCATTTTTTTTTTTTTTTGTACAAAGTAAAAGCTTTTCAAAACAAATTTCTTGGTTAAACATTAGCTAGATGGCTGACAGAAATAAAGTCAATCTAATAAGTGAAGCTGGTGATGCTGTTTGTGGATTTGCTTAATCATCCTCTGCCGAGATCTTGAGATTTAATGTCTTTTACTTGCAGTTGATTGCACCAAATGCTCAATAATCAGTTATTTGATCACTTAATTATCTCATTAACTTCAACACTGTTTCAGTGTTTCTTTTAACATTGTGTTGGTTGGACTCATATAAACTGAGCAGTGTTCACTGAGGATTTTGCTGTGTATGTTGTACATTTCAGCATATATCCAAACAGAGTTTTGTACCTGTAAATGTTTTTTTATTAGTTTATTTTATATACATAAAATCATGAAAACGTTTCAGTTTTTTTATGTATTATTATAAGTAAAAGCTTTTAAAAACAAATTTCTTGGTTAACGTAAGAGCATACTAGTGTCATAAACAGTGCAATTGTTTTCATATTTTATTTAATATTGACAAAATTATCCACAAATAACTTTTTTTTCACTCAAAAACTGAGGTACATAAGATCAGATTAAAGGGATAGTTCACCCAAAAATGAAAATGTGATGTTTATGTTTTATTTTTTTATTTTTTTTCATATATACAAACATGAAAGAAGGTTGGCAATTTTTTATTTTATTTTATTTTATTTTATTTTATTTTATTTTATTATTTTATTTTATTTTATTTTATTTTACCCCCAGGGCATCCAAGATGTAGGTGACTTTGTTTCTTCAGTAGAACACAAACGGAGATTTTTAACTCAAACCGTTAAAATAATTGACCTTAAAAACCATGTTTTTATACAGTCTATGTTTTTGACCCATGTCGTGCATTAGAAGGGGTTTGCATAGCTTGTGCATCAAGGGGTTAAGTAACATTTTCGGGAGAAAGAAAATTCTCTCCGGGTCAAAATGACCCGAACACAGCCTGAGGGTTAAGTATGTTTCTTGGACTGGTTTGGTTTAGTTGGGATCGTCACAGGGCATTGGTAAGAATGCACAGACGTCCATGAGTCCAATCACTGTTTTTAATAAAGTTTCAAGCCAGCTGACATACACAATGCAGCTATGATTGTGTATGGGTTTACAAATGTGTAATCTATGGCTTGAACACACGCAAGCCCTTCATCATGTTCAATCTGTCAAATCGTCAAAATCTGGGGGGGGACTAAACTACGCTGTCAATAATTCACAGCCCACCAATAAGAATAAAAACAATAAAAAAACAGTAAAACTTAAGCCTTTTCAACACTACGGTTCAACTCAAGTTGGCAGTTCTGTTTCCCATATTGTAATAATTTGTTAATTAAGTAAATTCTTCAGCTGCACTTCTGAAAATATTTTATAACAACACATTTTCCAGAAATGTGATGATGTCTTTTAAATATTTTCATAACAGCTAATCTCTCTGACCCCTGCTACAACTACACTGTACTGGACCATCCATGGAGAGCCATAAATAATACAGATCCTTCAGTCATAATGTGTGACAGGTCTGTCACCTGGAGCGGCTGGTATCGTCTCTTCATTAACAACATGAGGGCTCAGATCTTAATAAAGTTTCAAGCCAGCTGACATACACAATGCAGCTATGATTGTGTATGGGTTTACAAATGTGTGTGGTTTTCTATAATAAAAACAGAAATACAGTAATCAATTCACAACAATAATAGGCAAACAACACCCATATCAAACGTACAAACACGTGAGATCACATGACTACGTATACATAATCGACTAGTAATGTACGCGATCATCGTCTTATAACTGCTTCTCAATCATACATAATCTTATCAATCCACACAAATATGGCTCACTGACATATATGTACAATGTATACATTAAAGTAAAATACGAAATATTATTCGCTCTCACACTTTTTACACCGCACGCATCAGAACGCACTTGCAGAGACAGAAAACATTTATAGCGCTAGCATTAGCTTCATGGAGATTTGAATAGAAAAAAACATCAGAATGATTGAATACAGCATACAGCAATACAGCATACAGCAATATAGCGGCTGGTATCGTCTCTTCATTAACAACATGAGTGCTCAGATCCCAGACATATGTGTTGCACGGAGTAGCTGTGGCACTACTGTCCCACTGTGGATTCGTGGTGGACACCCAACAGTACAGGATGGAGTCGTCAATCGAGATGTCTGCGGTCACTTTGACAATTACTGCTGCCATATCGGGTCATTTCCCATTAAAGTCAAAGCCTGTCCAGGCAATTATTATGTCTATGAGCTGGTTAGACCAACTCTCTGCAATTTAGCATACTGTGCAGGTGATTATATTTACATGAGCTCTTTCTACAAATTCATGATATTTGTGTCTCTGTTCATTAATCACTATTCATCCAAACATTCAGATGTTAGCAGCTTTAACAGCAGCTCTACAGCCGTCACACCAGCGACCATCTCAACTGGTAATGTAACACACTGTGTCTCTATTGGCTTGATGAATGTGCAGATCTGTACTACTGAATAGATGTGTGAGTGATTGTGCTCGTGTCAGTTGGTGAAAATGTTAGAAATGTAGATAAGTCAGGTTTGCCAACACACGCGCTCATGCTGCCCATGTAAATCTCACGCCAAATTGGCAACCCTGCTTGCGATATGAAACAGTCTCAGCTTTCAAATTTTGTACGTTTTAATAGGAAATTTAAACAATACATACAGTTTTGGCACACTTAATGTGCTGTAAATCGTAAAATGTAGCGCTTCAGTTAAAGCCAGAGCCTTTGAAAAACAGAGTTGCGACAAGCTTTGATCTCGCCGGCGCCGCTGCGTGGTCACATGGTTCATGGAGCTTCATGATTAAACACTAGATTTTAAAATGTGAAATTAAAAAAAGGTAATACTTACATCCTTTTTTTAATGATACTTATATAAGTATACATAATGAATGCAAGCAAATACTGAATTTAACCCCAAGTTTAAAATGGTGCTAAAAAGGCATTCAACTGCATTCAACAAAAGATTTTTATCCCCTTTTATGTAAAGTAGTAAATACATATGAATTGATATTGAAATGAACGATTCCCTCACTGAGATGACTCGATGTTCCTGAGTCATATTAAAGATTTGTTCAAAATGAACGTATCATTCATGAACGACACATCACTATTACGAGCTTGAGGACTCTTCTGTTTTAACATTTAACGTGCACATGCGTGTGTGCTGATGTATACGCCCTGTCCACGCGGCCACAAAAAATTAAACAAAAATCAGGATATCTGCAGACCCTCCTGATGATGAAAATTGCATCACTCAGAGAGTGCACGGACCGTCGCAGAATATACTTTAGCCCAAAGTCCCTTTAAGGCTAATCAATGTCTTCCAGATCACTAGAAAGCTACAGGCAGGTGTGTTTGAATAGGGATAAAGTTAAACTCTGCAGGACAGTGGCCTTCCAGGACCGAAGTTGCCCAGCCCTGCTTTAAAGGTTTAGTTCACCCAAAAATGAAAATTAGCCCATGTTTTACTCACCCTCAAGGCATCCTAGGTGTATATGACTTTCTTCTTTCAGACGAATCCAATCAGAGTTACAGTATATTAAAAATTGTCCTGGCTCTTCCAAGCTTTATAATGTCATGGGCGGGTGTTTTTGTTCAACAGTCCAAAAGTAGTACCAAATAAAGCACCATCCATATTAAAACGTGCATCACACGGCTCCGGGGGGTGAAAAAAGGAAAATCCTCCTGTAGAGAATCGATGCGTTTTTGTAAGAAAAATATCCATATTTAAAACGATGTAAACAGTTTTGTGTAACTTGCGCTAACTGTCGTACGCGCGTTCACGAGAGACTGCCTTTCCGGAGGATGACGTAGGACGTACGCATGCACGCATGCAATTTGTTTTGTTCTCTCTCCGTCGCGCTTCTGCGTTCATCACAAATCACTGGCACTTACGCTACGCATACGTCCTACGTCATCTGCTGGAACAGCTTCCGCCTACGACAGCTAGCAGAAGTGAAAGAAAGGTGTTTATATCGTTTTAAATATGGATATTTGTCTTACAATTGACAACGACTGTCTCATAAATATTGTTTCTTATGCTCAAATAGCATTAAAAAAGCTTATTTTTGGCTAGACCAGCCACTGTGCTTTACCCTTTAGCGATTGACTCTTTTAGAAGGCGGGACTATTCTGCAAACGTTAGTTAGTGTGTAATGTTGCTGTTTGAGCATAAACAATATCTGCAAAGTTACGAAGCTGAAAGCTCAATGCAAACGGAGATATCGTCTTTAAAATTCTGGTAGTTTAATGCCTACAAAAACGGCTCGTAGGGACTACAACGCGTATACCAACACTTCGACAATATTACCGTAGGCCTGCTATTAATACTAAAGTCCTCCGGTTTCATTTTACAGTAAATACAGTCAATAACTGAGGCGCAAGATAGTGTCAGCTGTATTTGAATAAATCAAGAAAGCAGTGTTTAAGGGCTTGTCCAAATACCCACACTTGCTGTCTTTGCACTTGATCAGTTGTCTACATACATGACGTATTTCCTGTATTTGGCCTAAGTGTTCAAGTGGCCATAAAGACCACAAGTGTGGGACACCCTTATAGTGTTGTGAAAATGCAGGTATTTACAGAGCTTTATTTTGATTTCAATACTTTGCATTTAACATAAACTGTTGAGTAGTCCCTATAACAGATGACACAACTTAGTAATTGTGTTTTTAATTTAGTAATTGCAGTTGCAAATGTTGTACAAAATACACATACTCAATAAAATGTGCAACACTTTACTTCCAAATTATACGTATTATCTAATTATTACTCATATTTAGGCTAACTTACACTAGAAAGTTTTCTTTAACATCTCGCCAGATCTCAACCAAAAAGTCTCATGATTTATTTCCAGAACTTGATGTCATGTATCCACAATGCAAAACTGTATGCAATGAGATTACTCAAACTGACTGGCTATCTTAGTGTAAAATATGATTTCAAATATGTTCGTTTAGATTTGTTTGTGAAAGTAATATAAACACAGTATATATTAGTAAAAGTAATATAAACAAAATTGTTTTATGATCTTTTATTTTTAAATACAACACCAAATTATTGAACAGTTATACATTTTTTAACAATTATTACATTTGATGTATTTTATTGATGATTTTAAGTATTACTACTAAAACATCACATTCTGAAAAAATTATAGTTTTAAGCAGTGTATTGGTAGTTATAGTTAATATGCTACACTCCTCGAAAAGTCTGAAGAGCACGAAATAATGTGTTAATATGAAGGAATTTTCTGTATTGATTTTTCACAATACTGTATTTGTAGTTACACATTGCAGTATGCTGTGTTTTAGAATTACAGGAAATGTCCATAAACGTAATGGATAATGTCATGGCAGAAAATTACCAGGGGCAGTGGCAATTCCCAATTACCAGTAGGGATTTAACGATTACCAGTTTGATGATAAATCATGATAAAATTCCCCACGGTTAATATTACCATTTCATATTTTAAGTATCATTAAAACCGTATTTCGATTACCGTGATTTGAACAACTCAAGATAACAAAATAAATACTACCCAGCATAAAGCAAAGTTTTAATTAACAGTCGCACGTGCGCACAGCTCGCAGAGTAGTTTCGTTTTGTGTGAAAACATGGCAGAAAGCTGGGAGATTTTACGTAAAAGAGTGCTAAGGGAATTATACAAATTAATATATGAATGAATTAATTATGTGAATGCACCTCTGAAGGTTCTGACTGTCTTCGGAAAAGACTCGATGGCATTTTGTTTTCATCTTCACTTCATGTAATACCTAATAATGTAGTGTTCTTAATGGCAACTGCTTTGTCCACGGAGGTTTTTACGGGGAAACAGCTGTAATTTTTTAAGCAACACATTTGTTTAATGTTTTCATAACAGCTTATCCCTCTGTTGACCCCTGCTACAACTACACTGTGCTGGACGATCCATGGAGAGCCAACAGCAGTCAGCCATCAAACTCCTACAAGTGTGACCAGTCTGTCACCTGGAGCGGCTGGTATCGTCTCTTCATTAACAACTTGAGCGCTCAGATCCCAGACACATGTGTTGAAATCTATAGCTGTGGCACCAATATCCCACTGTGGATTCATGGTGAACACCCAGCAGTTACAGATGGAGTCGTCACTCGAGATATCTGCGGTCACTGGAGCAATTACTGCTGCTATTACGGGTCTTACCCCATTAAAGTCAAAGCCTGTCCAGGCAATTATTATGTCTATGAGCTGGTTAGACCAACTAAATGCTCTGCATACTGTGCAGGTGATTATATTTACATGAGCCCTGTATTTTTTGTGTGTACCTGTATTATTTGTATTTGTGGTGATTCATTGATATTCATCAGCCATTATTTTTTTCAGCTGTTACTAACATCAGCAGCACTCATACAACAGTTACACCAGAGACGAGCCCAGCTGGTAATGTAGTCTGATATTTCCTCTGTTGATTGTGTTTTGACTGAATGTTTGTGGATCTGTAGAATTGAACAGGTGTGTGAGTGTGTTTGTGTCTCTAGGTAAAGATGAGGAATAAAAAAGTGTGAAATGTGCAGGTGCAAATCATTGTAGACCTTTTTTGGTGTCCTTTGTATTATTTGTGTCTTAGTTCATTGATATTCATCAGTCATTCATTATGTTTTCAGCTGTTACTAACATCAGCAGCACTCATACAACAGTCACACCAGAGACGAGCCCAGCTGGTAATGTAGTCTGATATTTCCTCTGTTGATTTGTGTTTTGATTGAATGTTTGTGGATCATTTAATTTTTGAGGGCGATGCATGAGCAGCTTCTATCTTCTATCAATCAGAGAGCAGTGCAATAAGATGTGCATTGTGGATATTTTTAATATGAATTTGACTTTCTACTTTCTATTTATGGATTCGTGCTTAAACTAGTTAGCTATTAATACATAAACCTGATCAAAATCATCAAATTCTGCCTTCACAATTGTGATTTCAGATACAGACTTCTCTAGAATGTCTTCAAAATATTCTTGAGCTGATTGAGAACATTACAGCTCAAGAGCTTCCTGTGAATGTAAGTCTTCAAGAGAAAAATGATCAAATAATCAAATCAAATCTCGCTAGATAATAGATATCATCAAATACAATTGTGATTTCAGATACAGACTTCTCTAGAATGTCTTCAAAATATTCTTGAGCTGATTGAGCTGATTACAGCTCAAGAGCTTCCTGTGAATGTAAGTCTTCAAGAGAAAAATGATAAAATAATCAAATCAAATCTCGCTAGATAATAGATGATCGACATAGCAGTGCAGTCTTACCATTTACATGTAAGGTAACTATGTTTCTGGTCAATAAATTAGACTGTGATGAGAATTTTGAAAGTGGTCCTCAGTGCTGTGGAGAAGATTCTAGAGTCGTCATCATCATCAGCAAGCCCAACTGAACTAGCCTCCTATGGAAACCGTGTGTTAAAAGCCAGTGAGAAACTCATCTCTATATTAGTGAAGCCAACAGACACAAATGACAGTGTCAGTTTTACTCTTGCTGCTGTAGGTAAGTGGAGAAACAGTTATTATTAATGATGAAACTGAGATTATATATAATGTCAGAGACTTTTTATAGTCTAGAGCAGTGATGGATCACAGGTGGCAGAAAGCAACAATGCTGAATGCAACACAGAAACTATTTAATTGTGTATCATCAACTCATTTTAAAAGAGAGCAGAAAAAAAAGTCCTCTATTGCCTGTGCTCTGTCTCATTAGACAGATGTCAACATGGGCAGGTCAAGTGACACATTCATGCTTAAAAACATGTTCAAAGAAAATATGACCCATGATTATATGAAACGTGCAGCATAGAAATGGTTTGTGACTACAATGTGTTTTGCGGATAGTCACCGCCTTAAAGACAAAACAATCAACATTCATGAGACATTTACCAAACACTCAAACGATAAAAACCATAAGTCAGTGCAGTTTATGGTAATAGTCAATTACAGTATTTGGATTTTAAGGACATCATTATTTACTTTTGTTCAATAAACAATTTTGCTGCTTGATGTCCAATATAAAATCTGAGTCCTCACACAAAACCAGTTCAGAACTGAAGCACACTAGTCATGTTATATATTTGTGCAGATTGAATTAATTTTCATTAAAAACAAAAAAAAATGAAGTAAAGTAAATTAAAAATACTAAATGGAGCAGCTTGTTTTTTAAACCAGAGGTAGAAGTCTTCATGGTTGGGCCAAATGTCACCTTAGATAAAATACCTCAACTTGAAACAACAACTTCCTCTGTGGACATCGATCTCATTGGAATCGCCAAGAACAACAATGAAACAAGTATTTTGTGAATCTGTAGAATTGAACAGAAATTATAATGTAGAATCGTTGACTGCTAATCTTTAAATAAAAGTTTAACATAGTGGATTCTTCCTGAAATGTAGCTGTTTTCTGAGAATTTTTTTTTTTTTTGGTTTATTGTATTATTCTCTTCATGCTGATTTCTGTCATTACAGTTATAAATATAACGCTGCCGGAAGGATGCACTGTAAGTTGAGTTTCTGAAATTGAGGTTTTAGAGTTGGACTCACAGCTTCTATCAATTATAGTGCAGAGAGCAGTGCAATAAGATGTGCATTGTGGATATTTTTAATATGAATTTGACTTTCTATTTATTCTTTATGGATTCGTGCCTACATAGTGGATTCTTCCTGAAATGTAGCTGTTTTCTGAGAATGTTTTTTTTTTTTGGTTTATTGTATTATTCTCTTCATGCTGATTTCTGTCATTACAGTTATAAATATAACGCTGCCGGAAGGATGCACTGTAAGTTGAGTTTCTGAAATTGAGGTTTTAGAGTTGGACTCACAGCTTCTATCAATTATAGTGCAGAGAGCAGTGCAATAAGATGTGCATTGTGGATATTTTTAATATGAATTTGACTTTCTATTTATTCTTTATGGATTCGTGCTTAAACTAGTTAGCTATTAATACATAAACCTGATCAAAATCATCAAATTCTGCCTTCACAATTGTGATTTCAGATACAGACTTCTCTAGAATGTCTTCAAAATATTCTTGAGCTGATTGAGAACATTACAGCTCAAGAGCTTCCTGTGAATGTAAGTCTTCAAGAGAAAAATGATAAAATAATCAAATCAAATCTCGCTAGATAATAGATGATCGACATAGCAGTGCAGTCTTACCATTTACATGTAAGGTAACTATGTTTCTGGTCAATAAATTAGACTGTGATGAGAATTTTGAAAGTGGTCCTCAGTGCTGTGGAGAAGATTCTAGAGTCGTCATCATCATCAGCAAGCCCAACTGAACTAGCCTCCTATGGAAACCGTGTGTTAAAAGCCAGTGAGAAACTCATCTCTATATTAGTGAAGCCAACAGACACAAATGACAGTGTCAGTTTTACTCTTGCTGCTGTAGGTAAGTGGAGAAACAGTTATTATTAATGATGAAACTGAGATTATATATAATGTCAGAGACTTTTTATAGTCTAGAGCAGTGGTGGATCACAGGTGGCAGAAAGCAACAATGCTGAATGCAACACAGAAACTATTTAATTGTGTATCATCAACTCATTTTAAAAGAGAGCAGAAAAAAAAGTCCTCTATTGCCTGTGCTCTGTCTCATTAGACAGATGTCAACATGGGCAGGTCAAGTGACACATTCATGCTTAAAAACATGTTCAAAGAAAATATGTCCCATGATTATATGAAACGTGCAGCATAGAAATGGTTTGTGACTACAATGTGTTTTGCGGATAGTCACTGCCTTAAAGACAAAACAATCAACATTCATGAGACATTTATCAAACACTCAAACGATAAAAACCATAAGTCAGTGCAGTTTATGGTAATAGTCAATTACAGTATTTGGATTTTAAGGACATCATTATTTACTTTTGTTCAATAAACAATTTTGCTGCTTGATGTCCAATATAAAATCTGAGTCCTCACACAAAACCAGTTCAGAACTGAAGCACACTAGTCATGTTATATATTTGTGCAGATTGAATTAATTTTCATTAAAAACAAAAAAAAATGAAGTAAAGTAAATTAAAAATACTAAATGGAGCAGCTTGTTTTTTAAACCAGAGGTAGAAGTCTTCATGGTTGGGCCAAATGTCACCTTAGATAAAATACCTCAACTTGAAACAACAACTTCCTCTGTGGACATCGATCTCATTGGAATCGCCAAGAACAACAATGAAACAAGTATGTGAAATGTTATAGTGTGCATTAAATACAAATTTTTATTTTTTGATTTAAAGTAAATTAAAGAAGAAACAATTTAAGAAAGAGACATATGTACAACTAAATCATGTTCACTTGCAGTTTTTTCATTGTTGTATTTCACATTTCACATCACACTTCTATTTCTGTCACACAGGATCAGCTGCAGTGGCTTTCATGAGCTACAACATGATGGAGAATCTACTGAAGCCAGACTTCTTCAACACATCTGTTGAATTTGGTGTGTGTGATTGTGGGGCTGGTGTTCTTCACTTTGGCCCTGTTGACCTTTGCCCTTTGTCGGTGGAGTCCTGGAGTGAATAATGTAGCTCGAATCAACATCTGCATCAGTCTTCTGCTGGCTCACCTTCTGTTCCTGCTCACACAGCAGTTCCTGAGCTTCATATGGCCTCAGCAGGTGAGAATGATGAAGGAGCCCTACAGCTCAGCACAGCCTCACTGAGAATCATCATAACCGTCTCTCATGGTCTCCAGGTGCTGTGTGCCGTGATCTCTGGCCTTCTGCACTTCCTCTTTCTCTCCGGCTTTGTGTGGATGTTCATTGAAGCAGTGCTGCTCTTCATCTGTGTGAAGAACCTATCACAGATCAGCTCCAAAAAGAGGGAGGTGCTTAGCAGTGGATTCCTGTTTGTGATTGGATATGTGGTTGCTCTGGTTGTGGTGTGTGTGTCTGTCGGTCTGGTTCCTGACGGCTACGGCAGCGAACAGTGAGTTTAGTGTTTTCTCCTTTTTTCCCCTCAAACTGTATCATTCCTTCATAAACTACAAACTGTATCTCCTTCCAAACAGCTGCTGGATTAAGATGGATAAAGGCTTCATCTGGAGTTTTCTGGGACCTGTTTGCATCATACTAGCAGTAAGCATGTTTCATTTTCATGATTTTGATGTGTATTAAAGGGAAAACATGGTGATTATTGTTTTTCTACTTTGCAGTTAAACATGATTCTCTTTATCTGCATCATCATCAGTCTGAACTCATCTCTCACAAAACTGAACGCTGATGTTTCACAGTTGAAAAAAAACAAGTAATAAATATTATAATGTAATTGCTGTAAGGAAAACCACATATAGTGTTTTTATTATAGTCAATAAAGATACATTATCTCTGCAGGATTATGGTGTTTAAAACACTAGCTCAGTGTGTGGTTCTTGGTTGCTCCTGGATTCTGGGTTTCTTCACTAATGGCAGTAAGGTGCTGGAGATCCTCTTCCTGATCTTGAACTCCCAGCAGGGAACCTTCATCTTCCTGATCTACTGTGTCCTCAATAATGAGGTCAGACATCACATACTCCTCCAAACAATCAGCTTTAACAACTCTATATTCAGTCTATCTTGTCTTTCCCATCTTCTGAATTTACCCACTTGGGTGAATATTACAAACAGATGCAAAATCTATTTCAATATATTATTTTGCAGAGGAATAACTTTGAGCATTTTATTTTCCTTTTTGGCAAAAAATAAATTGTTACATTTTGAAGAATTGTTTTAGTATATAACAACTCACAAGATCAGTGATTAATTAGTCATTTTCAAAATTACAACATTCTCCAAAGATAAAGGTGCACTAAAGCGATTTTTTCCAAACGTTGTTGATATTTGAAAGCACCAAAACAAACACGCCCATACCCCTTCAAAACCTCGCCCCTATTTTAATATCTCCGCCACACATGTACGTACACAACCCTGGCATAACGACAATCACGGAAGCGAAGATGACACACAAGCATATTAAAACAAATGCCAACAAAATCAACGTTACTCACCTATCAAAAATAAACAACGCAACCTCGGCGTCCGATTCAAGCCCTTCCCGCTCCTTGAGTTCTCTCCACTGCTGGAAAGCTGCTCCGATATTTACGCAGATCCTACCTCTTGCCTGATCGTAACCCTTCTTTTTTATGTTTTGTTCCTCCGATATTTTCCTCTTTTTTATCTTCCAATTCTCTCTATCTATAGTCGATCTGATAATATCCGTCCTGTGCACTCAAATTGAGCGCTCGCTTCTCTCTATCATTACAAGACACGCCCCTTACTGCTGATTGGCTACAAGTGTGTTTTGGGACTTGGGACACTGCGGTCAAAAGTGTTTTTCAAAAGTTGCTTAGTGCACCTTTAAGTTTAATCAAAGACTATAGAATACCCAAGACATGTCACTCCTATAGTTTTGAATGGGGAAAAATGCAACACTCAGTATGGCCGCTCAATCGCAGGAAGCCCCGCCTTCTGAATGAAGGAGCCAATCGTTAATTTGCAAAGTCAGCGTGTCACTGCAGCTGCCTAGAAGTCCCGGTTGCTATAGAAACAGTCAGCGTTCTGAGACATGCGCTCATGCTGCGTTCAAGTCCTCCTGGGACGTTCGTACTTACGAGTTGACAAGTCGTAATTACGACGTCAGGTGCGTTCAAGTCAGTTTAGTCGGCACAAGATGTTGTACCTTCTTTTAATAAATTACAAGAAAATACAACAGGGTCTGTTAACTCTGCTTATAGAAAATGAAGAGCAAAGAATTCGCATCAGGTGTGTTTTGCTTTTTTAATATTTTTAAAACATGCAACATGGCAAATCAAAAGATTTTTCACCTATAGGTAACTAGCTGCGTAACAAGCACATGACCAATTTAAGTTTATAGGACAACTAAACTATAAATTTAAACAAAAATTTACCGTCAACTACAGACCTTGCATCCATGGATTCCGCCATGTTTCTCATTGACACGCCCCCAACTCGGAAACTCGTGGTTTAAAGAAAATTTCGAGTTTCCCACTCATAATAACGGCTTTGTGGTGGCGTTCATGTGCGTTCAACTCGTAAATACGATCTATCCGACATGACTTGAACGCACCATCAGGACTGCGCATGCGCACTGGCTGATCTAGCCTGAATAAGCGTTTTATAACGCTATCTGAGCAAAATAAACAACATTTATGACACAGTTGATATCAAATTTCTTTGGTTTTTTAATCGCAAGCTTAGTGAACATTTTTGTAGAATTTGATGTTTCCCCATTCAAAGAGATAGACTGATAGTCCGATCACACTTGCATGCCCGAGAGGCGTTTCAAAGATGGCCGCCGAGTGACATGACGTGTCTTAAAGGGACTTTGGTTTAATGCAGCCCCTTTTTTTTTTTTTTTTTTTTACTTTTAGATTTTGTTTGATTTCAAAATATAACCTGGACACGTTCTGATTTATTTCTTAACCAAGGTTAAAACTGAATCTCGTCTCATTCTTGTTCAGGTCAGGGAGCAGTACAGGAAGTTCTTCAGATGTCTTTGCTGTGCCAAACATCACTGAGGACTACAGCATCATGTTCAGAAAATGAGTGAAGTGCCATTATTATAAAAGTGATTCTATCATTATTTAGAGGTTATATTAGTCTCAACTATAAATTTCACTGTTTTTTTTTTTCTTTTTACAAATGTCAGTTCTCTGATATAAACCTATACAATTATCAATACTTAATGTTTTGGTGAAGGGAATGCTATTATTGTTTTAGAGTCCTGTATACTTAAAATAAATAATTTCATAGCAAGTTAAAGAATGTAATTTTACAATTATTTTTGAATATTATTCATTGAAACCGCAATTGTAAATGTAACAATTTTTCTTATTTTCTGTTAAGCAATCCATTTAACATTAAAAAAAATATTTGGAACCTTAACACAGTATCACACAAACCCAAGTTCAGATACTGCCTTGATGCAAAACATTTAAAAGAAAAAATGTGCAGCGTGATAGAACAGAAAAAAAAAAAACATTAGGTGTCCCACATACTGTTTAATATCAACAATGTGAAGCAACATAAATTCAATTTCACAGAGACAAAAGTCAGAACAATTCATAACATCAGTTAAGAAAACAGAAAAACAGTCCAATGCCATTTTGTGTAAGGAATGAACTGACATCAGTAATACTTTTTACTTTTATATATATATATATATATATATAAAAAAAAAAAAAATCAAATTTCTTCTGTAAATTTGTTGTCTATGTGATTTCTTGCATGTGCTGATTCACATACTTAGATGAGGGACGATCCAAGCAGGAATCACTTTGGGCCACCACTACATTGCGAATGACTTTTCATGATGTTACTAAACGTCTCCACTAAACTGTAATGGAAGAACCATTACAGGCTGCTTTCACAGAAAGCCTTTCCTGAGGTATCAAGTCAGAAAAGAAACCATATGTATCCCCACACAACACAACATCCTCTACTGTCCATCTTTGGAACAAGACAACATTGTAAACTTAGATGTGTGTAGTGCACAACCAAACACTGGCCCAGAGGCCACAGCTAGAGACTTTGTGCTGGACTAGACCCAAAGGAAACATGGGTTCATGTACATGACACAGATAGATAAACCAGTCCAGTCCAGCTATGTTTTGGTTCAGATAGTCTCTCAATGGCAGTATGTTACAGAATAACAGTTTTGTTTTGCAGCAGCAAATGGGCACCTTATTGGGCTGAGCTCAAATATTCATCTTTAAATGCTATGAAACCAAAATCCCCAATGGCAGTGGCTTCAGCGTTGTAATATACACAGCTCAAGAAGCTGGCAAAACATTTGCGATAGTGTCTTTGGCACTTTGACTCAGCCTTTCAGGAAACATGACCTCATATTCGACAACCAAGTCCCCGCGGCGGTCTGGGGATTTCGGAAGAGGAAGACCCTCCCCAGTGACATGCCGTTTCATCCCGGGACGAATAATTTCCTGAGTGGTTAACTTAATTTTACGACCACCCAGTGTTGGGACGTTGACGGTGCAACCACAAAGTGCCTGAGAAAATAGAGAAAAAAGGGATTAGAAAGATGCAAAGAGACTACAAAAGTGTTTGCAAAGAAACTCTTAAAATCCCTGTCTTACCTCTCGGAGTGTAATTTTTGCGGGATAAATAATGTCTGATCCGTCTCGTTTGTACACGGGATGCGGTTTATCTTTCACCACAAACACAACGTCTGCGGGGATGTTTGATGGCGTCTCATCACCTTCCCTGGGGAAAGTAATCTTGGTTCCTTCCTTCCAGCCTTTCTTCACCTCCACTGAAAGAATCTTGTCTTCAGAGTGCGTTGTTCTTCCGTCGGGGTTCAGGCGTTTGCGTGAGATCTTCATCTTCTTGGTGCAGCCAGTGAACACTTCATCTAGACTGACCCTCAGGTCGTGGGTCACCGGAGGGTCCTGTTTTTTCTCCTGTCTCCCGCCGTGACTGCGTGTGTTAAAGGAGCGGGGGAAACCGCCCATGCCACCCATGCCAAAACTGGCAAATGGGTCATCGGTTTCCATATCCTCCTCCATGCCACCGTTGCGTCCGAAAAACTGTCCGAAAGCATTCTGTCCTCCGAAAAACTCTGTAAACATTGCATGAGGATCGCCTTGGAAAGTGTAGGTGAAATTCCCGCCACCACCTCCACTGCCGGGGATGCCTCCCTTCAGTCCTGAATATGACAAACAAAGAGCTCACATATTAGACTTTTATGGTGTTGTATAAAAATCACAGACAACTCAGAAATGCTGCACCAAGGGTCCAAAAGCTTTACTATTTATTAGAACGGTTCATTACATTGATTACCCAACTACTACACCTCCCAGAAGAGCTGGGAATTTTAATTCCTCCCAACTGGAATTTACCACAAGTTCCTTTTTTATGGAAAATCTTGTCTTTAATAGTCATTATCGTTTGGATTGTACTTTGTATTGCAGGGGAGCGTGGGGCACAAACTAATGCGGGGCTAGCTGTAACACACGTGGTTTAAATATTTCCACACACGCTAGCATAACAAAATTTACGGTATGTACTTGTTGCCATATCAACACTATACAGAGAAAAAAGTGCTCCAAAATAAAAATAAAAAATCTTTTGAAGATATCACAGAACATTTATTTTACCATAGCAAAAGTAAATTTCTGTCTTAAGTGAGTTTTTCATCTCAGTTTTTAGTATTCATTTAAAATGAGACAAATCTGCTTTTATTTTAATCTCCAGTCTGTTATTTATCGTTTTTTAATGCCTCGCTAACTAGCAGAAGACACGATTAAATTCCAGTTGCGCAGATGGGGAACGTTGCATTACAATGTGCCCCGCTCTTATTAACCTATGCTATTCTATGACATTAGCAATGTAATTTACACTATTTACTTTAATGAATTTGAATGAGACACTATAGGAGAAACAGGAGAATAAAGACAGACAGTCAATGTTTAATGTTCAGAAATTATTATTTCAAGAAATGTAAAGCATTTTTGAATTGTTTATGTGGGCCGTCCCAAGCAAGGTTGCAATGTGTTCATTTTCTCAAAAAACACCATTATTTTATTTTTAAAAAAAGTTAATAATTGTATTTTATTGACAAAATATTTTAGTTTGTGTTGTATATTTTCATTGTCATATGGTCATGTTACAACATGCCCCTCAGATGTTACAATGTACCCCACCTACGGGGCATGTTGTTACATTTCACTTCCACTTTTTAAGGGTAAATAAAGAAAAACGTATACACTAATTATGAAACAAAGCGACATTTGTAATAGACAGGTGTGAAATTACTGTGGCTAAATAATTATACTCAGAACCCCATGTGGAGTTACACAAACTGATAAAGTCAAAATGTCTCCCCTACATTTTCTTCTTGGAAAAAAAAAAACAAGTTTAGGGTTGCTCAAAATGTCTGGAATGGGACACAACCCAAACACGCACCGAACTGCTGACAGCACGCGCTTGCTGGAAGATTCTGATGGTCACGTGGTAGAAAGAGGCGGGGCGTTTGCGTGCTGTCAGAACGCGCTTGCTGGAAGATTCTGATGGTCACGTGGTAGAAAGAGGCGGGGCGTTTGCGTGCTGTCAGCAGTTCTGTGCGTGTTCCACAAAGCCCCACTCAGGTAGCCAATCAGAATGCAGCATAACAAATCGTGTCTATCTAACGTAACAGTACAAAACAAACGTATTAACATGACAGTAGTTTCACCTGACTGTTTTCTCTCAATCAAGAACATACTATAGTCATCTACATTAAATATCGCGCACTGTATGCAGAATCGCATACAGATTAAAAAAACTGATCCAGTCAGTGAGCTCATATAATCTCTGAACAAACATAGACACGATAGTTTAAGATGTGAACTATTTAACACGAACTGCTAAAAGTGTGTCTTAAATTCTCCCCATCTCTATCGGTGTCATCAGGCACGGCACAAATGCCCCACAAGGTTGCATCATTTTACTCACCTTCTTCGCCAAATTTGTCATATACGTCTTTCTTCTTCGGGTCGCTCAAAACGTCGTAAGCCTCCGCGATCTCCTTGAACTTGTCCTCGGCGCCGGGAGACTTGTTTTTGTCCGGATGGTACTTGAGCGCTTGTTTGCGATAAGCTTTCTTGATCTCATCGTCGGATGCGCCTTTCTGTATTCCCAGCACACTGTAATAATCCTTCCCCATCTTCACCATCGAGCGTGTTTTTAGGTCGATATTCTCCAGAAGTCAAACAGCGGGGTTCAGAGAAGTCCTGCTAGCGTTGAGGCGTTTGTTTATCAGTTGAGTTCAGTGCACAACAACTTCAAACAGATCTCGGAGTAATTTCACCGGAGAGGTGTTGTCCCATCCACCTGGGGTGGTTTTTATGCCCCTGCATCGCTGTGGTTCCGCCCTGGTTGAAACCGCGAAGAAAGATCGAGAAACTTCTCAAAAAAGCCAGCTGCTTGTTTCCACACCCGAACCACGTGGATGTGCTGCTGCTCCACCCATAGATCTGCTGCTGGACACCGACGAAAACGAAACTAAATCGTTTCCTATAAGAAACTGTCAATTGAACACACACCATATGCCATATTTACATCTCTGGAGTGACCTACTCTATCCAGAGAAAGATGGTTGATTCTTTTAGTGTGTACTTTTTTTTGTCCATGCAATTTATTTATTTACTTACATGTTATATGTAACATATGTTCAAATAGATTTAAAACTTTCTTTGTGTCTATTTATCTTTAATTTTTTTTCTAAAATATATGATGTCAAGTTAATTTGTTGAATAATAATTGTTTAATAACTTAACAACTTCATTATAAGTTACAGAGTTATAAATACATTTAGTACATTAATACATCTATTTGGTCTTGTCCCTCATCAAGACAATTTGTGTGTGTGTGTGTGTGTGTATAATAAATGTGAAAAATCAGGCCTTCTCCTAATATATATATATATATATATATATATATATATGGTTTCAAACACATTTTCAATTTGCTTGGTATTTATACACACACACACACACACACACATATATATATATATATATATAGTTCTATCTCTTAAATGTGTATTTTATCCAAAATGTTATGGATTTTTTTTTTCTTAAAAAAAAGGAAATCATTGATTGGATATAAAGTCACACATAAATACAACAAAAATAAATGTCTGAAGGATAATATTTCATGGTAAATTATAGAGGCAGGGAGTGGGGACATACAACAACTGCTATTTCTTTAGTGTTCTAGGTAGTTTTTATTAATGATTTTAATTATACATTCTAAATTTTGCATTTAGCTAAATGTGAAGACACTTTGCTTAATAATAAAATGTATTTTAGAGTTAATTTTCATGAATTTGTATACATTTAATGTCCTGGGGACAGAAATGTTACCCATTCGGTGGAATGTCCCTACAACAGAAAGTTATACCTTTGAATATTCATCGATTATTATGGTGAACGCCGTCCAGTTGACCGTTCCAAGATGGCGGACGCGTCAACGTATCCGGAGCGGTCAAATAGGGAATCTATACATATCTATATCTATGCATACAACTGTTTTATAACAAAGAATCGTTGTCCTCATATTGCTGCTGTCATCATTTCCACCACACAAGCGTTTTATTAGAACAATGGAGTGCTTTCTGCCGCATGTTTTCGCCTCATACCACCACTAGGCGGCGATCTTGCGTCGAATCGGACTCCGATTGGTTAGAAATACAAAAACGGCGTCTCTGATGCGTTTCAGCCAATGACAAGCTCGAGCGCAGGTCTCTGTATTTGTTGGCAAGCGCTCATCACTCTCTGGCCATTGGATGTGCGGCATCTTGATTGGGCCTCGCGCTTGTCTCTCACCTGGCTGGGATTAAGCCATTCAAACTGCAAAAATGAAGCATTACGAGGTAAGACATTGTTACTGGTTTTCAGATTTCATCAAATCGCATCAGCGTTTCGAGACGCTTTTCCTGATGCTCTTGAGATCGAGAGGTGGAAATTAATGAATCGCACGCGTTACAATGACACGACTGAGGCTGCAGATTAGAAAAACTCGCTATAGTGTGACAGCACTTCGGCCTAACCTGCTCGGTTTGAAGAATAATGAATCAGACAAGAAAAGCGATCTGTTAGATGACAGATGATGCCAATAGGATATATCTCGATTATGCAGAGACTGGACTGGACCCAGAGTCTCAAACAACACCTGTGCCATATTATCACAACACAGTATGTGCAATAGGAATATCGCTTGCAACATAATTCGTCCTCGAGGGAAGCATAAAATATCAATGGCCTTTCTCAAACGAGATGTATTATTCATTAGTTGTGTCAATAAGCACCATTAAGTTAGGGTTTCTGACCAAAAACAAAAGTATTTGCTGTGATGTGATGGTGAATATTGACCAAGTCAATGCTCATGAGTGAGTTTGATTGTAAAGAATGAAGTCACAGCTCTGCTCTCCATAAACCCGGAAGTAGTGGATGTTTCTGTGTTACTTTACCATTAGTGCACATCAAATCTGGCCAGAGAATACGAGTAGTTTTTAAAGACATTTACATGCTGATGTAACACTTGCTTGCTGAACGCGTGGAACAGGTTCGGTCAAAGTCGCTGTTGATAAAATTGACATAAGCTATGTTTAAGACGTCCACAAGAGGACGCCGAGAGGTTTCTCTCAGGGACGTAAACCATGTCATTTAAGTAGCTAATACATTAAGAAATAAACTTAGAAAGACACACAACCGACGTAATTACACATGTTATCAAAAATATATACATGTATGCTGGTTCTGTCCATGTCAGGCGCGAAGGCACTCACGCGCTGCCTCAGACACACTGAGGAGTTGAACAAGTCGTCTCTTGTGCGGTGTTTCTCTTCAAAGTAAACTTTAGAATAATGTCGGTTGTATTCCACGCAATTCTTTCAGTTGGAGTTTCTCTCACTGGCAGTGGGTATTTCCTCCAGTGTCATCTGCCCATGCCTTTCTAAGTTATTAATAATCTCTCTCTCTCCCTCCCCCTTAAAATATGGGCTTACATTTCTGCCACAATTCTGCGCGCGAAAGATCATATTTTGAGCGCACAAAGGTGCATTTTGCACGCGCGCGATCTGAGTTTGTGGAGAAAATGTTCGTTTCACAAAGAAGAAAGTATTTCGAGCGCACGGAAATCAATTTTGCGTTTAAAATACGTTTTTGGATGTGTGCAGACCTTCTCTTTTGCGCGTGCAACGTTTCACTAGCTTGCTCACCTGATGCCCCCCCTCTGTGCTCGCTAAATGCCAACAGCTCGCGTGCTCAACACAACCCAGAGTTACAATGTGCCATCATTCCAGCCAATCAGAGACCGAGGCTGCTAAATTCTGATTGGCTGCCTTGACAGCCAATCACAACATTTCTTGCATTACCTCGACAGCAGAAGAGGACAAATACAGTGCATGCATAATTATTATGCAAGTTGATATTCTGATCATGTTTATTTCCAAGCACATTTTACCAATAATTATAACTACAATTAATCTTGTATTTAATCACTTATAATCTGCACTGTATTTGTCCTCTTCTGCTGTCGAGGTAATGCAAGAAATGTTGTGATTGGTTGTCAAGGCAGCCAATTAGAATTTAGCAGCCTCGGTCTCTGATTGGCTGGAATTATGGCACATTGTAACGCTGGGTTGTGTTGAGCACGCGAGCTGTTGGCATTTAGCGAGCACAGAGGGGGGGCATCAGGTGAGCAAGCTAGTGAAAC